TTATTTATTTCGTCGCGAGTACCAAAACTTAAATGACTGCTCCATGCTGCGCTGTTTCTTATATATTCAGTGCCAACGCGCGTTCCCGAATATTCCAGCGAGCTCATGACCGCTCTCGATTTTTCGAGCGCTGACTCACCGGCGATGACTCATCGGCGATGAGTCATCATTCCGAGATCCAGAGGGATACTCGCTACAATATATACCCTACCTTCATTTGCAAGCTAACCATAGGGAAAATACATTGTAACTGGACCAGATAAGTCTTAGTCAGCACGAAGCGAAAAACGTTGTATAAATGATTTGGACTCGTGGACGAGTACGCTAGCATGCGCCGTAACAGTTGACCTTGCTTCATACATCGATGCTTTATTATTGTTTTTTATTTTGTGCGGTGTAAATCTGATAAAATTTGTTTTAGTGCGCATGTCTCGACGACGCATCCAAATCATTTCTGAAAAGGTTCTCGCTTTGTGTTGACTGCGACTTATCTGGTCCAGTTACAATGTATTTTCCCTATGGTTAGCTTGCAAATAAAGGTACGGTATAAAAATCTACTATTGTTAACAGTTTCCTTTATTTTTCAATGTAGGCAATTATTTTCATTAATATTATTATTTTTTTTAATATCTTTATTTTCATTTTAACTGTCCTGTACACTTGCATACATTTTGTCCATAATAGTACAGTAAATAAACGAAAATAATTAAGACTCCTAATCAGCACACTGTGCTGGTGACGGAGACTGTAGCGATTTTGTTTATATTTCGTAGTCATTTAAGAAGTTTTCCTTAAGTAAATTAATATTTTTTAAAATATTTTTGATTGATTGGGGTAACATGTCCACACTACGATTTATTGGATTATTCAAACCTATATTGGAATGTGTATTTGATAAGTAATTTTTGCATTGATTTCTAGTATTATGAATCATAATTTATGATCATGAATCTCTTTACATAATATAAATTTATGATTAGTTTTTTTTATTTTTATTGATTATTGTTTTATGTACTAATTTACATTGTTCAATTTTTTTTACTGTTTTTAGTGGCTTAATAGTTAACTTTTTGTATATTTCTTTTGTTGCTGTTAGATATGGAAAATTAAATACTACTTTTATATTTTGTAGTCTTTTCATTTTGTTAAATAGTATTGTTGAGCAAGTACCCCAAATCGAAATCATATATTTATTAATATAACCCGTATTTCAAGGCAATATGCCTATTGTTTAAATTACAAGCAAATATATCGCCCATGGGCGACAACAGTGTCATAAGTAGTAAAACCTTAATTTCGAGATAATTACCGTAAAAGATTTTTGAATAATAAAATTCTCAGATATTTGTAAAATTATATTAACTTTGGGATAAGAGCTATTTGTAGATATATCTGTGTTGCCGAATAAGGTGTGCATTGGAGATATGTCTGTTTTGCTGAAAATATGTGCATTTATTTTGCAGATATGTCTGTATTGCTAAAAATGTGTTGATCAATGTTTTAATTATTCATTCTTTCATTGTTGATTACGAATATGAGTAACGTATAGCTGGCCCCATCGGCAACGCCTTACACTGATTTCCCAGGGTTATTTTACCCCCTTTCAGTTCTCCTACATATCCCGCCACTGCACAGCATTGCCTGTGTTTAGTGGATCCGAATTTTCACCCCGGCTGATAAATCTCGCCTAGGAGATCGTGGATGACAGTGTCGATGGTTAAGGCCACTCTCGGAATTTGGTTGCCAGGCCGGGCCATACACCCGCTAGTGGAGTGGGGACAAGGAGAGAAAACATTTTGGGTTTTGAGGGACATTGAACTGACCCAAAACTAAGTACAATCCGGAGTCCCCCTCACCCAGGGATTTGGTAATTACCCTATTTAATTTGGGTTCATGAATGGGGCTTGGTTAGTTAGTACGCTGCTAGGACGTATCTTTGGTGCTCTTGAAGTACTTCCTGTTCGTATGTGCGTGTTGGATTCTGAGCTTGCTGACTATGGATAACGTTGCACCTGTGCGGTTGTTTATAATTTCGCATAGAACGTAAATTATGGATCCATTAAATGTGCTTAGTAATCTACAGATGTTTATTTCTTTAGGATGAGTTTCTTTTGCTCATTGTATATTTAAACTTGAGTGTTTAATTACTGCTTATGTGAGCCCTTATTTATGAATTCTTTGGTTATGCTTGCTATTTTTATGAAAACTGTTGGCGACTAATTAATTTTTACCTGGTAAAGTTGTTTATAAGTTGAGATTGCGAATTTCGAATTAAAATTTAGTATTTGTGTATTATTAAGGTAGGTTTACTTATCCGGTTTATGCAGACTTGGACTTCAGGTGCATTCAGGCAGGTGTTGTGAAATTTTTCCTTAACCTTGACAGCCAACTATTAGCACGGGTCGTTTCTGTGTTGGTAATCCAGGAAAAATTATTAGTTGTATCCAATTACCTCAATCACACTCTTTTTTACAGGTACCCTTTTTGCGCTTGGTTCTGGTAGATTACGTGTAGAATCATTAATTGATTTTATGAATTTGAACATCGATAGCAGTGGTAGCACTATGGAAGTACGAACGAGTTAAACGAGACCCTAGGCACACGACCGTTTACGTTTAGGCGAGGAGCGTCACTTATTCATTCTTTTATTGTTGACATCTTTATCTTTACTAAACTACGATAACAAAATTACTGCCACAACTTACAGGCAACTTACAAATTACAGACAGACACAAGTCTCCATCTAGGGATTAATGTTAATTAAACAAATAAATAAATTATTTTTATACATTTTATTGATTTTGAAGCATATCCTATGCCTTGGATTTTTATCGTTTTTTAAGCTCTATTTATTAATACGGTCTACGTGTACTATATTAATTTCAATTTTTTTATTATTAACTTTTGTTTGAAAAAATTACCCTTCCTCCCCCCTTCCCGCAACATTTAGCAATAATTAAATTTGCCCCAGTCCCCCTATACACTCTCGGCGGACCTGTATTTGTGTATAAGCGAAAAATAATTTTCTTATTTCAAATTAATTTTAATTTTATAATCTAAACAACCCAGAACTCACTACGAGGAGGTGACTGCACTTTAAGTTCCACCCTTTTCCTCCATCCAACCATTAAGAGTGTCTTATTTACAAATTGCATCCTCGTCTTATATGTCATACGGCTTGCGTGTGACATGTGAACTCTTTTATATCCCAATCAGGGACCTCACCCGATCATATGAAGCTTTTAATTTCTTCATTAGTTACCCCACGGAGAAGAGGTGGAGACGATATTTTTGTAGCGTTCCAATCTATGATTTCCGTGTAATTTAATGCTTCAATTTTAGTGAAGTATTTCTCAGTCAAAGTAGACTGCCTCTTCTTGTCAAATATCAAGGCTTAAGGTATGTGAACTACAATCAAGGGACGGATACATTAAAACGACACTAAAATCGAAAGACTTGATAAAAGAATTCACAAATAAAAGTGGCATTTGCATAAATGACAAATAAGACGAGGGTGTAAATTGTTAATAGCTCACACTTTTAATGGTTGAATGGAGGAAATGGCGTGAGTGTAATTCGTGGTTCTGGGTTGTTTTGATTTTAAAATTAAAATTAATTAGAATATTTCCAAGCAAGCCAAGACCTGCACATTTGTACTTAAACAATGATATATGAATATAACTTGAGCGACCGAAAAACATTTTCCAAGTAACAAAATTATGTTTTCACTTATATACGCTACTTTAACCATTTAATGATTAGGCACAATAGACTTAAAAAAAATCTAAACGGAATCTTCAAAAATTGCGCGATTGGAAAATATCTTTTAAAAGCAGTGATATTTTTTTTGCAAACTATTCAATACTTTTACTAATGTTTTAGCACTAAAGCCCCAAAAAAACCCTAAATAAAAAATACAAAATCGTCTTGCGCGATCGAAAGATATTGTCCGAATTTGATATTTTTCTTGTTATGCTAGTATATACCTAAGGAAACATTTCCTCGGTATAGCGAATCGAAAATATAAAATTGAAATTTTTTGCACCACCTTACTACAAGGTGTGAAATGCCTGTATAAAATAATACCACATATTCCTGAGACAAAATATAATGCGATATAACTAAATTTACTTCTATACAAAAGTAACCAAGATACAGAGTGTTAAAGGTCCCTTTTTAATTTCATTAAACAAAAAAAAAGTTTTTGCACATAATCTGATATTCAGGGGTTTTTCAGGAGGGGAAAATTAAATTTCTTTAAAAAAAAGTAGGTTGCTGGGGCGCTAACTGCGACACATTTAAATGGTTCTTTTTTGCGCCTTGGTGTGTTCAAGTTTTAATAAAAATATTACTTTTTTACGCAAAAAAGGTACACCTTGTAAATGTCGCTCCAAGTAACCGTTTTCAAGATATGTGCGTTGAAATGGGTATTATTGTGATTAAATTGTACTAAATAAATTTAAAAAAATATTTGAAAACATAAAAATTTAAAAAACGATGTTGAATTAACTAAATTTGTACCGTTTCTTAAAGTATTTTTTTAATTGTAACCTACATTTTCAAATCACAACTGAAAAATTTAAGAAAATATCTCAAAAACGGTAACTCGCAGCGACATTTAGAAAGTATACCTTTTTCACGTAATAAAGATAAAAAACGTAATATTTTTTTAAAAATGTAAATATATAGTGTAGTAAGGCGCAAAAATATGTCAGCATTTAAACTTACGCAAAGTGTTTCTACTACCTAATTTTTAAGAAATTTAATTTTATGCAAAAACGTTTGTCAAAATTAATTTTTTTCTATTTGCATTTAATAAGCCAAGTATTGTTATTTTATTCTGTTTTTGTAAACTTTCTATGAAATTTACTTTGAAAGTATTGAGAGATGCTTTCTGTCCCTTGTACCGCTTGTAAGCCTCAGAACAAAATTGTTATAACTCAAATCCCAAACAGTATTAAAAGGACACTATTGCATATTTGCTCATTTTTATTATTTAGCCCGAGGGCGGCCATTATTGCGATGAAGTCGAGAGTGAAAACGAGGATAGCGAAGACGAGGACGTTTTCGATGGACCGACTACCGCAACTAAAACTGTCAACAATGAACACTCTGATCCTAATTCGTATTCGTGGTTGATTCTAAAACTCGCCGTTCTTAAAATGGTTCACACGAGGCTCAACGAGTTTTTGGCGGTAAGTACTACCACAAGCAATTGTAAACATTTTATAGTTTTACCGTTTTTATAATAATAATAATAATAATAAACATCTTTATTGGTTTCCCAACAGGCTATCGACCGTGGTCTTTCTGCCCAATTTTACAAAAAAAATTTATAAATATAATAATTGTTAATTGTAGTTACAATATTGAATTTATATAAAAAAAAAGTAATAAAAACATATAAATCTCAAATATTTTAGTCTTCGTTAGTGATGTCCGTGATTATCTCCCATAAAGTTTGTGTAGGATATTTCCTTTTGGGGGGCAGGTTATGGTCTCTACCGTGCATTAAGTTTTCCATAATTTGTATGTTGTGGTGTTTTTTTGCAAATTGGCATGCCAGCTCCTTGAAACGTTCCAAAATGGGGGTGACCTGCGTTGTTTCGTATAGCAGTTGATTTGATGGATTATGAAGTGGATTATCTGGGTGTCTCATTTTGGTGATTATTCTCAAACTACTCCGTTCAGCCACTTCTAGCTTACCTACCGTAGTTTTTTTGCAATTTAGGTAGATTAGGAAGGCATATTCAATAATGGGCCTGCATATCATTTTATAGATTTTAATCGCAGTTTCAGGTTGTATACCGTTATTTTTGTATATCAGGCTTCTGAAATGTTTGGCTCTTGTAATCATCTTGGTTTTCATTAATTTGGCATGTAAATTGAAATTGAGTTTGCTATCTAAATGTATTCCAAGGTATTTGCATGAATTAGATGGTCGTATTTGTTGATTCAAAATTTTTATAGAGGGGGAATTTATATTTATTTTGTGATTGAATATTATTAGTTGAGTTTTATTGGGATTTGGTTTTATTCTCCACTTGGAAAAAAACTGGATTATATTATTGCAGAGATTTTGTAAGTGAATCAAAGTGAGTTTTAAATTTTTCTGGTGTGCAATTAAAGCTTTATCATCTGCGAATTCTAGAATATATGTGTTAGGATTAAATTGTTGAGAATAGATGTCGTATGTGAATAGGTTGTATAGAATGGGGGATAAAGGAGAGCCTTGCGGGACACCTTGTTGCATAGAAAATGATTTAGATAATTTTTGATTGTGTTTAACTAGACTCAGTCTATTTTTTAGAAAGTTATTTATAAAGTGAATTAGATATTTTGGACAATTTAAGCTGTATAATTTGTATAATAGGCCGGCATGCCACACACTATCGAATGCTTTACTAATGTCCATGAAGAGAGCTGCTGATTTGTTGCCTTTAGATTGTTTGTTTGAACATTCGAAGTTAGAATAAGCAGTGGATGGATTGTGGAAGAATTTTTTCTAAAGCCAAATTGATGGGGTGGAATCTTGTCGTCTAGTTCTTCTTCTAGCCTTATTTTAATGATTTTTTCTAAGTTTTTTCCAATGACTGGTAGTAAAGTAATTGGGCGAAAATTGGTTGTTTTTGTCAGATCGCAATTCGGTTTAGGAATGTTTATTATAATTCCTTTTTTAAATTCTTGTGGATAGTATCCGTTTTTATTACAGTAATTATATATATCTAAAACTTTTCCATGGAATACAGTTTTTAAGAGTCTTTTTGGAAATATGGTCATAACCTGGTGCTGTATTTTTGCCGGTATTTAGTACATGATAATATTCCTCTTCAGTAACTTCAGGCACTTCTCCAGGGTCGGTATGGTCGTTAAAGTACAACTCGTACCAGTCATTTATTTCTTTGAAGCTTTGATCATCAAAGTTTATATCTTCCGACATTTCATATATTTTCTTGTAATGTCTGCCAAAAGCATCTGCCACATCCTGGTCCTCATTGAGCACAACATTATTTTCTACAATTTCAACATTTTTATGAGTGTTCTTTTTGTAACCTGAAAGTTTTTTTATTTCTTGCCAATAGTTTTTGCCTTTTAAGTTACTTATATTCTTGCATGCTTCAAGATATTTGGTGGATTTATATTGCAAAATTAATATTTTAATGTCTTTGTTTAAATCATTGAATTTAGATTTTAGGTTTTGGTTATCATATTTGTGGATTTCTCTAAGCATTTGTCTTTTTGTTCTTAATAATCTTAGTATGAAAGGAGGTAGTACCTTATTGTAAAAAGTTTTTGGTTTTTTAGGGGAGTTATCCAGAATCTTTTGGCAGGTAAAGTTGAGGAATTGTGTAATTATTGTTGGGTCTAAATTTTGCATGCTTTTTATATAATCGGTTAATTCTACATTTAGGTTTTCTAGGTTGCATTTGTTAAAATCGTATATCATTTCAGGAGAGGTATTTATTTTTGTTTGCAGGTTAAATGTTATTTCAATTGTTTGGTGGTCTGAACATAAATCCGGAATAATATTTATTTTTTTTATATTATTTTTTATGTTATCTGTACATAATATTAAGTCTGGTGTTGTGCTTGCGTTGTTTGTCATGATAAATGTAGGGGGAGTATCGATTTTAACAAAATTTGAGTTTTTAAGAAAATGTTGTAGTTGTTTATTTTTTTTATATTTAGGTTGCAAGTTTGGAAATGTCCGAATTACCAGTGGCAAGTCCTTTAATTCACAGTAGTTTAAGGAAACTAAATCATTGGCAGGAACAGTTGAAAAAAGAATTAGAGGTTAGACAGGCTCCTCCAGAATACATTCCTGGTTGTTTTGTTGAAAGTTCCACATCAGGACCTGCTATTCAAAAATATAGGTATACGCACCTAGTACATAGTTTCGCAAACAAATACTATATTAAATATTTTTAAGGCAATTATTGGAACCACAAAATACTCCGTTCAGTAACAAGAGCTCAGCCAGTACGGCCAGAAGCCTCTGGATCTATTTGGTTCACCAGGAACCTGTTCAGGACATATTTATTAGAGCCGTATTCGGCAAAAGACGATCGCTCACAGCAATGGACGATGTTTTGCCTAATCCTGAACCTGCTTTAGAACCTGTTAGAATAATACACAAGGAACAGGATTCGATTGCAGCTTTCAGTTTGAATCAAGTATGTATATGCATATTTTTGTGTCCTTTGCGTTTCAGTGATTTTTGTTAATTTTTATCCATTTATATTGATAAAAATATTTATTCCTTATACTTTTCTTTAATTTGCTTGTAATTAATACTTGTCAGGGTAACTATTAGTCAGAAAATTTATGGGAACTTTTTTATGGGAACTTATTTTAGAAGGTTTATAAATGCATTAACATTCTAATGTCGAACTTATTTACCTTATAATGTTGTAATTATTTTATAATTAATTTCTTTGAATTTCTTAATCTAAATTTCTAAAATTCAAAAAAATCTAAACTTTTATTAAGGCCACAATAATTTAATGTTTTATATAGAAAGGGAAAGAAACAATGTCAAAAATTATCGTCCTATATCTAAATTTTCGCAAATATCCAAAGTTATGGAAAAAAAATTCCATAACTTTTGATATACTTAAGTAAATTTGTGGATGTAGACTTTGCTAAACCCGTGCTTTTAAACAAAGGTGTTATTTTATTGGTTATACTTGTTTATTAACAAGATTTGTTAAAAGTCGTGGAGAAACTAAGCGAAATGGATTCTATCTATACTGATTTCTCCATGACATTTATCACATTTAACCAAAAAATCTTGCTAGACAAAATGAAGGGTTTTGGTTTATCAGGAAACTTTAACTGTTGGTTGGAGAGTTACTTAAGTCTAAGAATACAAATAATTATCAAACAAAATCAATACAAGTCTAAAAAAATGATGTTACTTCTGGCATGCCATAAGGAGTACATATTTCCCCTCCCTCATTTAACTTATTTATAAATGATATTGTCTGTCGTGTTAAGTTTTGTAAATATTTGTTATTTGCCGACGATCTTATGTAAATTATATAAAAAAGTAAATTCTTTAAAAGATTCAATTGGATTTAAATCAGATTCAACTGTGGTGTGATATAAGTGAGGCCATAAAAGATTTAGGTGTTTACTTCGATATTAAGGTGACATTTTGTTACCATGTTAATTTTATTATAAATAAGGCTTTAACCCTAGAGCGGGCGCGTCCTATAATATTTCATTAGTGGGCGCATGGTGCTAATATGCTACCAGCTGTAAATTATAGTTTTAAAACAGCTTTAATATTGTTCTAGCAGTAAATACTATAAATAAAGTCTAAATAATTAATTTTATATGTTTATTAAAAATTTAAATATTATATCTATTAAACATTTATAGAATATATTTTACAAAAATAAAAAAGTTAGTCATCTTCATCATTTTGAACTAAATATGTTTTACTTTTGTAACACTAAATTGTACTTTCACTGTGCTTTTCACAAACGAAATTATCACATATGTTACAAAATAGTGACGTAAATTTATATTTCTGCCGTCCACATATAGTACAACGTCCCCGCTTTTTTCTTCTTTCAGCTTGTTTTTGTAATTCTTGTACATGTTTGTAACGCTTTAGAAATAATTAAATATATAAAGGTAAAACCGAATTTTAGACTTTTTTCCCTAAAATAAAGTAAATAGAATAAAATACACATTTTTGGTAATCTAATAATAATAATAATTACAGCGATATAAAACAAATAAAACACTTGTGTCATCGCCGACGGTGGTCTAGTGGTTAGTGCTGCTGACTACAAGCTGGAGGTCGTGGGTTCGAATCCCACCAGGGGTATGGCTGTTTATTTGTGTTTGTCCTATTGTGTATTAGTCCTTCGGAGGGGACTTTAAGCCCGCGGTCCGTTCCTACCCCTAACCCGCACAAGCCATTCAGTGGAACTAAAAGAGCACTTTTGTAAAAGAGCACTTTTTGTTCATGCCCCACGCCCTTTAAGTATTATTGGTAGCACATTTGCAGGGGTCGTACTCGCTTCATATTTTATGCAAAACTTCATATTTTCACCCCTGTTCATAAAATTTTCATAAATTACAAAAAATGGTTAAAATATTCATATTTTTTAATTTTCTAACAAAGATTAATTATAACAGTAACAATATGCATATTTATATTATAAATTAAAAATTATTTTGAAAAGGCTCAAGCCTCAAGGCCTGACTCACTTGTCTTGCGCTGTGAGGCAATGACCTTGACGTCATATTGTATAAAGCCCGTATTACAGTCTGCAATTACTTGCAGCAACTTTCTTACATGCAAGTTTTATTGCTGACTGTAAAACACTTTGCAATTCCAACCGAACTTGCAATAAAAATCAAGCAGGACCTATAATTTGAAACGGCAATAAACTTGCACGAAACGTCGCTCTGCGCATGCCTTCGTGCAAGATTATTGCACGTAGAATTGCAGACTATAATACGGGCTTTACAGGTCTACCATTTATGGAAAAATTAAATAAATTTGGTTACAACATAATTGTTTTTTAAACTTTTCGCCTATTCACTTTAATATTTAAGTAGTTTTCAGAAACTGAAAACTACTCAAATAATAAAGTGAATAAATGACAATTACAATTTTAGAATTTTTTATATCAATAAAATGCAAATATCTAAAAAAATTCGTGTGGTAGACTCATAATTTGTGACACTTTGCGATAAGGGGGGAGGGGGTCAAAAATATAAAAAAAAACGTGTGACATCATTTATGGACGGCCACAAAAAGGATATATTTTTGTTATTTTTTTTTGTCATATTTTAATAAAGACGGTCATAAAATGTTCATATTTTCATTAACCGAAATGCATATTTTCATATGTTTCTTGGACTTTGTCTGTACGACTCCTGCATTTGCACCAGCGCGCCCGCTCGAGGGTTAAGAATGCTGAGATTTGTTAAAAGAATTATGAAAGATTTTATTGTTCAATAAATTAGTATTTTTGTTTAATTTGGTACCATTTTAATGTTAATACTTGAGTAAGAATTAAAAAAGTTCAAAACAAGTTTTTGCGATATTGTGGATTATACATTGAATTTAAATATAGCTTAAAATTGGTAAGAAACTAAATTAAAAAATAGTTGAAGAACAGGACTTGGAATTATTTTTTATATAAATTGCAAAATATTTCATCAATTGCTCTGACTTATTAGAGCAGATTAATTTTAATGTCCCGATGAGACGGACGCGAAATATATTATTATTTCACGTAAAAAAACAGAACAGAATATGCTAAATGCATGCCAATAAACAGAATGAGATATGATGCAAACAGATTTTTTAATTGCTCATTGGAAATATTTAAAAAAGAATGTAATCAAAAAATGATTACCAATTGCCAATCCTAATTTGTATTTTTTGTAAAGTGGTATATCCGTTAATAATTGTATTTCAATCACTTAATTAAATTTTAATCAATGTTTATACAACTTGAAAGTTAGCTTAATAATTACATAGGTAATTAAAGTAAATTGTCGTAAGTAATATCATAAGGGCATTTAATTTTTCCGAAAAGAATCGAAAAAACACGTTGCTAAGTAATATTTTAACAAAAAGCATGAGTGCTGGTGGCAACAAAAATCCGAGTCGAAGAGGAGGATTTTTACACCTGCACGAATGCTTTTTGTTAAAAAATATTACTTAGCATTGTGTTTTTTCGATTTTTTTCACAGGAAAAATTAGATGCCCGAATGGTATTTGACAAGACTATTTCATGAGTAACAGCAAAGATAATACACCCTAACAAGTAACAGTTAACAATTAAAATATAAATTGAAATTTTTGTTGACAACAGCTGTCAAGTTTTGCCGCGGGTAAACTCGAATAAACTGCTGAAAGGTGCTGTCACACAGTTTTTTCCACAGACCTACAGGTCTGTGGTTTTTTCACATAGAAACCATTTGTAATTCAAAATTGCGCGTTTGTGATTGGTGGAAATTAAGACGAGGGAAATAGTCGTATATAATATCACAAGAGAACAAATTTTGCCGGCAAAATTTTCGACTGGTATGAAAGTTTGTTGCTTGGCAATTTTCGAGAATGAAATTTTGACAAAATCCCGAGACGTCAGTCGAGGGATTTTGTCAAAATTTCATGAGCGAAAATTGCCAAAAATCAACAAACTTGAATGAAACCAGAAGAAAATTTTGCCGGTAAAAATTTTCTCTCGAGTGATATTCGACAAGACTATTTCACTAGAAAAAACAAGACAATTAATGCACCATATTAACGAAACATGTAATCTTAATTTATTTGTTAATATTAAATGTACAATTATTATATGTTATGGTAGTTTGCCCATTCTTTTCTACCAAAGCACGATTTTGTGTATTATTGACCTGTAGCATGTGGGAACTCGAAGGTCCAGCTTCATTTGTTCGGAGATTTTCGATCAACTTCTGGTGGTGACTAAAATCCAGCTGCAGGTATGGTTTTACGGAGCTTGCATTTGAGTGACCCGTTAATTTAATTAACTCCTGCGAATGGTTTGTTATTTTATGTTTTTTTGTGTCTATTCCAATTTTTTCAGCTGACATCTTTGTCCACTTAGATACGATGTTGATTCCAAGTGGACAGTTTTTGAACCATGATCCATTCTTCCAGTTGGGGTGAACGGTAAGAAAAAGTCTGCCTGATAAAATATTTGCTCCTCTTTTTTCCATTAATTCCAAGAATAATCTAACTGGGCATAAATCTTCGTTTCGACCCGCCTTGAGTTGTTTTCGAAAAAATGCTGTTGTATTCAATTCGGCCCGTAAATTCTCCCTTATTATTAAATTCCTTCTGGAAAAATTGAATCTTGCAGTTTACGGCCTCATTGCCTCTCCAAGCAAATTCATATGAGCAGAGGTGAACAAACTTTTTTTGTGCTCCATCGGGGGTTTCTTCGTCGTAGCTTTGGATCGTTTTTAAAAGTTCTTCGGTGGATAATGCTTTTGAACTAAGTTTTCTTTTTTCTGGACAACTTTGAAGCTTCCTTCGTTTGGTATCTCTGGCCAATCTTGAACATTTGAAAGATATACCCGTGAAATGATCGATTTTTATGCCGTATTCCGTAAAATATTTTTATTGTACCATTTTTGCAGTTGAATTCCACATAGACTTTACAGACTCTTTATAGTCTTCGCCATTGCATTTTTTCATATTAAAGGCGTAATCTTCAAGAATTTTTGCTAGTTCCGTCGCGGTAGTACATTTTTCCAGTGTAAAATTTCTCACCTGTAGGAATTCTGAGAATTGGGTCCAAATAGAGCTTCTGGACCTCTGAGTATTTAATGGGATATTTTCTGAAACCAATTTTTTTATTTGTTCATCTGAATGGCACACAAATCGTGAATTTGCGCGTGGATTCATTATTTCACAATGACATTTGTCAAACTGGCAACAATATAAGTATAAAACACCTAGGTGACGGATTTGTAATAATATCAAAACATCTTTAATTTTATTGTTTGTCAAACTGACAACAATAAAAGTACCAAACCATAATTTTGTCGCTGAAAAATCACGGGCAGGAGCACAGAGAAACCATTTTAAAGTTTTTTTAGAGTTTAAACAATTAATAATATAAATATCAACAACCAACGCACAGAAAAACATAAAAACATAAAAACGCACTTCAGCAAAGTTTTTTAAGAGTTTAAACAATTAATAATATAAATATCAACAACCAACGCACAGAAAAACATAAAAACGCACTTCAGCAAAGTTTTTTAAGAGTTTAAACAATTAATAATATAAACTTTTTAAATATATCTGACATCTAGAAATTTTAAGTCGAAACTGTCATACACCTACCTGATATCTATAAACCAGCGCTCAGAAAAAAACGCACTTTTTAAACATCAGTAAAACACATCTCCTATTTCTGCCATCTAGAAATTACAAGTCGAAACTATTTTACAAATCAGACGGAAACTGTAATTATTCTACAATGGCGACATCTGTAAAACGGGAACAATTAGCCGGACTAAATTTTATATCCAGCTGGCATTCTGGTGGTTTTTCTATGGGCAGGAGTTTTGTCGTAAGTAATATCATAAGGGCATTTAATTTTTCCGAAAAGAATCGAAAAAACACGTTGCTAAGTAATATTTTAACAAAAAGCATGAGTGCTGGTGGCAACAAAAATCCGAGTCGAAGAGGAGGATTTTTGCACCTGCACAAATGCATATTACTTAGCATTGTGTTTTTTCGATTTTTTTCACAGGAAATGGTATTTGACAAGACTATTTCATGAGTAACAGTTAACAATTAAAATATAAATTGCAATTTTTGGTGACAACAGCTGTCAAGTTTTGCCGCGGGCACGGTCTTATATACAGGTCTTGCAACTTCGCCCAATTTCAATAGGAAAAGTGACCTCTCTAATGAGACACCCACCAGATGGCGCATCGAGTTGAGGGTGAACCATAGATGTTTAAAGGTCGTTTTTACCTTCTTTATCTTTGGGTTTTACAATCGTTAGATAAGCTCTCTGGTGGATAATTTTCTTAGATAAAAAACAAAATAATTTTGTAGATTTTACAGTGAGGATTTAATATTATAATCGTTCGGATTTAAGGTACGAGTTTTAAATAAAGTTTTAGAATATACATAAATGCTACTACGGCTTTCGTATTGTTTATAGTTTGCGGATGGGGTTTATCGTTTACAGAGTAAGGAAGGTAATCTATAATATATATAATGATTCATTAGGTCTTTGTTAAATTTAAACGATATTTCGCACCCCTCCATACACTTAAATAAATGAGCTTCAAAGGTATAGTTTATAGTTTCTATGGTTTATAGTCATGTCCACTTTTTTCTTTCATCAGAATGAACTTCTCGTACCTATATGTCTGTTAAGATTACTCTGAGTTGAGAATAGGTACTTGTTCACAGTCAAAACAAAATACTGGCATGTTAAATATATGTTTAAGTACCTAAAATAGGGACTACTAGTCCCGGACTAGTTCGATGATAAATTTGTTGCTTGCTCTACTAGGTACAAGAATTTCTATATAGTATTTATTAAATACCCGTGTAACTACACTGCACCATAAAGTTTTTTCATTCACTATACCAAAATTAATAGATGTCTCTTATCATACACTTTGATCATATAACAAATAAACTTTGATAACTTGACTCTTAAAATGAGCTTAGAATCTAACCGTTAGATTTCAAATAATTTAAAATAGGCAACTAGTTATACATGTACTTAACAAATTGCAAAATGGCAACACTGGATTGGAGAGCTGTCTGCAGGCGTTCCTTAAAACCGGCTCTAAGTCCTTAAAGTCTATGGAATAAAAGGTCAAATGAACTACCTACTTACTTATGTTAAGAAACATAACCTACATTTTTATAAACAAGCTTGTGTATTTTGTTACAGGGAGTTTTTACTTATTAATTAGATTAAAATAGATTAAAATAGCTGACAGTTTGGCTAGTTTATAAACTACCCAGCTACTTTATAAACTATCCATGTTTAAACATTAGCCGTAACATATATATGATATACGTATGTATTTTATACATTAACATGTTTTACTTACATGTTTGGTCTGGGCATGTGACGGCCGAGGACTTTGTGCATAGAGTATAGACTTTGTTGTCCTATTTTGTTAACTTAAATTATCCGAAACAAACTCAAAAATATTAAATTTTTGAAAATGTAAACAAAACATAGAAAAAGAATTTAAAAAGTTAGGTTATGGTTATGCAGTAGTTCCACATTTAACTAAGTAGTAGTTTAATTGACTTTACCCCTTCGATCTTAGCGCCACCTAGCGGCTTGGCACGTTAAGGAAGCCACCTCGAAGCTTAAAGTTGCAAGACCTGTATATAAGACCGTGGCCGCGGGTAAACTCGAATAAACTGCAAACTGCGCGTTTGTGATTGGTGGAAATTAAGACGAGGGAAATAGTCAGTAGAAAACGTGCCGTTACATTTTATTACTTAAAATCACAGACCACCAAAACAAATGGACGGCGCATTGCCATTCAATAACAATGCTTTGTTTGCGGTCAACAAACGGTCACAGTCTAAGCGTCAAATTGGAGATAGAATTTTAATTTTTCTTCCAGTGACGTCAACAAACGGTCACAGTCTAAGCGTTAAATTGGCGATAAAATTTTATGTTTTCTTCCAGTGACGTATTGGGATTACAAAAATAATAAGTAGGTAGGTACTTACAAACGATATTTCCATGTATTGTTATTTTTAGTAAAAAATTATGTATTTAAACTCCATAATTAACTTAAACACGATAGAAATACAGAAACGAAAACACAAAACAACAAGCTGTCAACCTTTTTCTATGCTGTCATATATGACAAATTTACCAACGTTGTTAAAATTTAATTTTAATAATTATAAAATGATTTACTTTCTTTAAATAGAGAAAAATATCTAAAGAAAATGATGAACAAATCCTTTTTACAATTTTTTTATTATTCAAACGAATTACTGGTAATTATTAATGTTCATTATGTTATGATGAACGTCCAAAAAGGCGTGTAATCTATACTTCTGATAACTGTTTCTTTCGACGGTGTTTAGAATGTGAAACTATGCTTTACTCGCTTTTTAAACGTAAACAAATCCGTCCATTTGTTTTGGTGGTCTAGTGAAATAGTCAATAATAAATATTATTGTCAATATGACAGTCAAAGTATTTAATTAAATTCTTCAGCAGAAGTACCATTTTTAAATACTAAAAATACTAAGTCAAACTGGCATAATCCACCAACCTAACAAAAAAACACGAGTCCAGATAAAAAAAAATGAACTGTAGTTGGACAGTTATGAGATAACATCAAATTAAGTCCACGCTCTAGAAATCTCTTCTTTCTACCACTAGTCGTACATTATATTAATTTTTCGAGTTTATGATGCAGGTATAATTTAAAATAGCGTATAAAACGCGTTTATAAGACGGCCTTTAAAACGCGTCGTGCTCTCAATCCCAGCCACGTGTTTTAAAGGCCTTCGTAAATACTTCTATCATATTTTAAAATTTCAAAATATTGAATTTTAAATAGTATATTATAGAACTAAATAGTATATTAAAGAACTAATGTTATAACTTATGAGATGTCTTTTATTCGTACGAGGACAATTTGGAATGAAAGAGTGAGTGATAATGTCTTATGACATGAGCTCTCTTACTTTTTTTTGTATTTGTCATAATTTTTTGAAAGATTTAAATTGCTTATCGTACTGTTACCATGTACCGTATTGTCGCCATGGAGACAATACGAAAAAGCAAATGCGTATTGTACTGTGCTTACAAATAGAAAAACCACCTATGCAAATTTAATTACAATCGTAAAACTAAATTTAAAAGTGTCAAGAAATACATTTTATAGTGAACATAATAATCGACTATTTTTCTTAAGATCTATCAGTTGTGCATAATTATTATGCACAAATTCAATTCAGAAATTGAGTGATGAATACTACCTGATTTTTTAATCTGTGTTTTAATAAATATCCTTTTGCTAGGTAAATAATGGTCAGATTGTGGTTGCGACAACCAAAGAGCTCCAAGAGATGGAGATATCACTTTTGTTGGAGCTGCCTGCCTGGTTGGAGGATGAGTGTGAGCTGGACATTTTGAACCTGAACAAGGAGCTGCCCGACCCGTCTGTGCCTCCATTCCTGGTAATTCAAAGCTCAGGAGACAAGGAAAAAACCACACAGCCTGGCAGCCCGACATCCGGAATCGCCAGCCAGAGCGGCAGAGGTGCTAGTGTGGTGAGTACCAACACTTCTTTTATTATTATTTTATCAATTCATTAAAACATTACTAACCCGATTAATTTTTTTTTTCGTAATTTACGGACTGGTGAGGGTAACATTTAGATTAACGTTAAACTTGTGGGTCCAAATGATGCTAAACAATTACTTGTTAAAACGTAAAAAAGAACTACCTTATTTAGTACCAACCAGTGTTAGTAATAGTTAGTAACATTTGGATTTAGTTTATGTATTTTTAATAGTATTTTGTGAATTTTCGTTATCCATATTATTTTTTTCATAATAACGATAAGTTAAAAAATCAAAGATTCTAAATTAAGTACTAACAAGTTTTTAAATTTAATTAAATGTTAAACATATTGCTATTGCTATGGATTTTTTGTAAATACTAAATATCAGTGGCGGCTGGTGGATTTTGGGTATACTGATATCTCAATTATTAGATATGGGACCCTCACCAAATTTTTCAATTCTTTTCAATAAAATAATAAAAATTTAAAATGGTATAAAATCTGTATAATTTGGATTTTTTTTAAATGAAATTTGAAATTTGTCGATAAACTGTGGTAAATAATAAATTGCACCAATTAAATTTATATTCTATTTATTGGGGCGCCATGGGGCCGGTACGGCCAAGCAAAAAGTTATCTTTTTTTCGCAAACTTCAATTTAAATTGTTTATTTAATGTCATTATAAACTCATATAAATTTGGTGTGGGTATATCTAATAACTGAGATATCGGTATACCCAAAATCCACCATCCGCCACTACTAAATATATAATTGATTGTTTCGACCGTTACTTGATGAAACTCCATGTCACTAATATATAAATATTAAAACAACACTGTTCGAGAGTTTCACGGGATTTAATTTAAATTTGACAATTATTTCGTTACACAGTTTTTATACATTCCTATATCACTAAATCTATATTATATTAAAATTTAATAAAAAAAAGTGCCTAATATAAATTGTAGTCATATTGTATTAAAAAAACATAAAATATATTTACCTTTTAAATTACGACTGCATATACATTTCTTGCAACCCCGAAATTCGGGGCCCGAATTCAATATTAAAAGTGACTCGACTATTAAGACAAACTTCAGGTGGCGCACAGTGGTCTATAGGTAAATTTACACGGAAAAAAATATTCTTTAAATATTTTTCCCACCACGTGACTTTTTTATGTTGCTTTTTAGGTTGCTAAAGGGGGTAGCGGATTAAGGGGGGTCTGGCGGCCCCCACCGAATCTGGTAAAATCGTTTCAAAAATCTTGAAGAGGGTCGAAAAACAAGCAGTATAAGCTTTTTACCGACATTACAACCCCAAACGAAAACACAGTAATGGCGAAAAATATGATTTTTTGTGATTTTTATTTTTTTCAACCAGTTTAATTTATTTTTAAATGGTTTAAATGCAATTAAAAATTTGTTTTGGATGTATGGAAGTCCCCTGAATTTTTTCAGATTTTTTGGTCAAGTAAAAACATGTGAATTTTAGGTTTAAATGCGAAAAAATCGTGAAAAACGCGTCTTTTCAAGATTCAACCTTCTAATTTTTAGGGTTGTTTTCATTTTCCCGAGGGGTGCTGTATATTATAGATAGCGGCAATCGTCCTCTTTTGAATGCAGGCAACTGGACTCAATTTGGTCAATTCTGATGAGCGGGGCGATTTTTTGAAAAAAACTCGAATTTTCAACTTTCGGTAAATTACGGCGCGTACTTGGTATAATGCGTCTTTGCTATAAAAAATACATCTCTATAGAGGTTTTTGAGGTCGCTGATCACGATGCCTGCGTTAAAAGGAAAAAGGAAACAACTAACGACTCAAGAGGCGAATGACAGTCGATTTGTAACTAAACTAAGATGGGTAGTAGAGGCTGTTCATGGGATCATTGGCAGCAAATTCCAACTCTTGCATCATGAGTTTGACAATAAACGTTTGCTATCAGCTAAGACTTATTGCAAAATAGCGAATTTTCTGGTTAACTTGTTCGGAAAACGACTCAATTGTGATAGCGAATTACAAGATGAGATCACTAACGAAATGTTGCTCAGAAAAAACGTTTATAATGATTTAGCGAAAGTGGTAGAAGAGAAAAACTGGAACAGAAAAAAAAGGATCTTCAGACCTCTGACGTCAAATGATGTTGTAGACTTTCCGAAGTTAACAGAAAGAGATCTGAAGATACTTTTTACAGGGTCTTACCAGTTATCTCAGACCGTTTCTTATTTAGCAGAATTATGTACTGAAGATGGAGTTCTTAATATGCATTACTTGTTGGAAGATAAATCAATTTTGAAATGCGAAGTTCAATCGAAGCACATAAGTCGAAAAAAGTACAGGTGTTAGGTAAAATACGTTCCTAACGCTATTGGAAGAAGTGGTATAGAAGAATACGTATGCGATAGTGCGAATGGCCTCAGAACTGTCGGTTGTTGTGCACATGTGGCCACTATCATTTACTTCTTAGGGCATGCGAGATATTTGTCGCGAATTATTCGTCCAGCACAGATTCTCACAAATCTTTTCTCTGTTCAAAGCGTTGAACATGTTTTATTGAAGAAGATAGTGACGAGGATTAAAACTGTAAAATTGTTAACTTAGCTCTGTAAAAAAGTATTATGGTCATTTATATTACTGTGTGACTATTACGTAAGCTTGAATAAAATATGATTTATACCAGAAAATTTAGTTTCATTGATTATATTAGTTGAACACGATATTAAAATTGTTTAAATGCTGTGATTCAACGATATTTTTTACATTATCAAACCTGTGTTAATAAATATTTATGGGCGAATTTGTTGTCAAACAATTTTTTGATATCAAATTCGTGATCAGAGACCTCAAAAACCCCTATAGAGATGTATTTTTTATAGCAAAGACCCATTATACCAAGTACGCGCCGTAATTTACCGAAAGTTGAAAATTCGAGTTTTTTTCAAAAAATCACCCCGCTCACCAGAATTGACCAAATTGAGTCCAGTTGCCTGCATTCAAAAGAGGACGATTGCCGCTATCTATAATATACAGCACCCCTCGGGAAAATGGAAACAACCCTAAAAATTAGAGGGTTGAATCTTGAAAATGTCGCGTTTTTCACGATTTTTTCGCATTTAAACCTAAAATTCACATGTTTTTAGTTGACCAAAAAATCTGAAAAAATTCAGGGGACTTCCATACATCCAAAACAAATTTTTAATTGCGTTTAAACCATTTAAAAATAAATTAAACTGGTTGAAAAAAATTAAAATCACAAAAAATCATATTTTTCGCCATTACTGTGTTTTCGTTTGGGGTTGTAATGTCGGTTAAAAGCTTATACTGCTTGTTTTTCGACCCTCTTCAAGATTTTTGAAACGATTTTACCAGATTCGGTGGGGGCCGCCAGACCCCCCTTAACCCGCTACCCCCTTTACTTCTGATATAAATTTTTTTCAAAAATATTTGGTATTGAAGAAGGGTAGGGGCTAAGTCTAGCCAAATGATATAAAATAAATTTTTTCAATATTCGTGTATTTTTTATGTTTTTTGTTATGTTTCATATTTCTTATATTTATTATAATAACAGTTTTTTTTTCTATTGTCAACACGATCCGTAGACACACTGTATAATAAGTACAAAGTATATTAAAAAAAGAATATTAAGAATAGGAGTGAAAAAAAAATGTATAACCATTCTTAAATACAATAATTATTGTAAAATTTTAAAATTATATTACTTTTATGACCAGGTTGGCCTTATAAAGATAAATTATAATTTTTGTCGACCTTTTTTCATTTTTGCATACCTCTCTTATAGGTGCATAAAGGCAGATGAATTTTTAAAAAGTCGGAACTGGAGGTTCATATTTTCGAATGCACTAGGTGGTTCTCGGCAATTAATTATAAATTTTTACTTACATTCCATTTATCATTTGAAATTACACAAACTTGCGAAATTGTAGGTTAAAACAAATAATCTAAAAAAGACATTTTATCTATTTTGCGGATTTTATAGGTTGGTTTTACTTTAAACAGCATTAATATTTTGCTTATTGGTTATAATATTTTTATATTTTTCTAGTACTTACAAGACTTTTCTGGCAATACATTTTGTTTAACACCAAAGAAAAATCCTTTTTTTCTTCTTTAACATTACCAGCCGCTTATTGTAAATAAGTAAATTAAGGTCGGCATGGCGAATTAATTTTGACATAACTGTCAAACCAATGACTGTGATACCAACTATCTAAAGTAAAATTCGCCCAAATTAAATTTAAAATAGATAAAATAGCATAAAGAACTCATGTCATAAGACCTTTTGTCGCACTTGTCCATATAAATTGTCCACGTGCGACAAAATGACGTCTTATGACATTAGTTCTTTAATATACTATTAAAATTGTATTTGTACTCACTTTTATCCGTAATATAATTTTTTGACACTTCTTCACAATTATAATTACGCAACACCTTTTTTAACATGAAAAAGCCATGATTCCGAAAGTAAGAATATTTTTAACAATTCTTCCATGAATTTGTTATAACGCAACGCATGCGCAGTAACGTTTAAAATCTCATGTAATAAAGAGGCATCAAAATGCGTTTTTAAAGTGTTTTAAAAATTGTGTTTTTGCCGCGTAAATTTTCCTCTCAGACTACTGTGTGGAGCTGCGAGACAGGAGTAAACTGTAAAATTAACTACTACATAAACATAACTTACATTTTAAAAATCGCAGTCTACGCAAATGTAATGGTATTTGTGAGTCGTGTCGCATAATTTCCGTGTATTTAGGTCGTGATTATTACTTCAAATAATTTATTTGAATCATGCCGAAGTCCTGTACCGCAATGTAACCGTCATAAAAGTGTTTTACTTACGTGTGAAATGAGAAGGTCGACAACTTTTTGAAAGGTTTCTTGTAAATTTTGCACGATTTTACCATCACGTTGCCTAAAATAGTTAACCAATTAGTAGATAATATTAGAAGAGTAGATAAGATTA